TATTTGTTTTATTTGCTTTATTTGCTTTATTTGCTTTATTCAAATTATTCATTTTATTCATTTATTCAAATTATTCGTTTCATTTGACTAAACTTTCAATTTAATTCGAATATTCATAACAAATGAAACAAATAATTCAAATAGAAATCCTAAGGATGTTCTATTATTTTTTTTTTTCAATTCATATATAAAATTCATCATCTCTGCAAAACTTTTAAACCTTTTATTGTTTCAGGTTCTAAAATACAATGCCTTTGAGTAATCAAGTCTATGCCTCCAGAAAAAACTTGTTCACTGGTTGTTATTAGATTAGAATTAATAAATTTAATTTTAAATAAGCAGAGTGCAAAAATTAGAATACCAGGAACTGCCAAATAATTTTTAGCCTAAAGCTCTGAACAGTTCAGAGTTTTAATTTAAATCATTTTGATCCCTGAAACTCTTGTAGTACTAATGTTGACTTTGTCTGATTTTGTTGCAGCATACCCCATATATTAAATAATCAACTCAATTTTCTATTCTCTACTTCATCAAGAACATCATTGGATAGCAAATCATACCATCAATCAGCTTTAAAAATGTCATTACCAAATATTCTTATCTCAAAAAGAAACTTTCTCTCAAAATAACCAAAACAATTTAAACTCAATGGTAGATCCTGAGCTGGAATCTTTATTTGACAAACTTTAGTTGGTCTCAATTTAATTTATTAAATCATGCAATTATCACATGCCCAACCTGTATGATGGCCAACTCTGCTAATAGTTTATGGTGATCTTACCAAATTTATTTATTATCTTTTAGATAAAAATTTTTTATAATATTGACAAAGATGATAATGAAAATGATATTAACAACAATGAACTTGATCAGGCTTCATGAACTTCCAATATCAAAGTTTATTATTAAGAGGAACACAAAAACTTATATAACAGCAGTAAACCAAGAAACTTTAGATGAATTTGAAACTTTGATTAAAAACACTCAATCTCTTACACCTTTACACAAAATTCCAAAGCATAATTCATTAAACAATTTGATTTGCAAAATTGCTAATCGCAAAGAAGCACAGTTATTGCCAAGATTGATTTCACAATGGCGCAGATGTTTATTACCAACCACTTTCCAAACTACAAAATTATTATTTAATCGTTTATGTGATGAGAAAATTGGTGGGGAAAATGTGATGTTTAAAATGTTGGCTGATAGAAAAAAATATGGATTATTACCTGATGTGGAGGGATTCAGACTATTGATGCTAAGATATTCTAATAAGATTTTGGGAAATGACTTTTGGAAGGAAAGAAATTATTTTATTGATGAAAAAATAAAATTATTGTTTACAGATTTAAATGATAATCATATTCAAGAAATTATTGACAACAATAAAGATGATGAAATTCAAAATAAAGAAGAACCAAATGAAAAACAGAAAAAAAAAAAAGCAAAAAAAAAAATAGAAGAAGTAGAAGAAGCAGTTGTAGTAGAAAAAAAAGAACAACCTAAAACAGAATCAGAAATTCATCTGGATAAATTGTTTAAAACATTTGGACTAATGACATATTATGATTTGCCACAATATGATCCATATTTATTTTTGATTATATTATCAGCTTTGATGAAATTAAATACCATTGAAAGTATAAAAAGAATTGATATAACATCTAAAGAATTTCTTGAAATATTTTTGAATTCAGAGAAAAAAATTGATTATTCTACAAAAAATGATATATCAGTATATTCATTTACAATACTGCAGAATATATTGGAATTAGAAGAAATTCATCAACAAAAAAAAGTGTTGCCAACACAATTACATGACATAGGTAATGTTGAAAAGAAAGCAGAAGTTTTTCTAAAAACATTAGAAGAAAATCCAGAATCATTATTTACATCAAAAACATCAAATGAAGTTGAAGCAACAGTTGATACAACCTTAAAAGAACAAATTATAAAATTAAATACAAAATTATCTTCAAAATCAGAAAAACAGCATCATTATATTGAGATACTTGAAAAATTTATCAAAAGTAGGGGAAAATTTTTTGTAGCAGAAAAAGAAAATCAGCAGAATTTCAATAAGCAAAAACATATAATATGTTCAAATACATTAAATTTAATGACAAATTATTATAATAAATTATCTAAATTAGAAAAAAGGGATAACATTGAAAAGTATAAAAAAATATTACAATTAAATTATCAAGATTTATATGATGGATTTAAAAATTTAAAGCTTGTTTGGGAACTTGAATATAATCACAATCACATCAGTAGCAATAGTTCAGAAGTTAAAAGACATTGTTGGAAATGTGGTTCAGAAATTGATTACAAATCTTTACATTGTGAAAGAAAAGATTGTGGTGTAATACAAAAAGCATTGCCTGCCAATATTAATTATTTTGAAATGTTGAATGTTGTTGATAAATCATAAGTTTATTCTTTTGATTTTAAAAAAAAAAATAAACTATAATAACGATGGTAATAATGATATTGATAAAAGGGTTTTCTAAAAAAAATATTATATAGAGAGCCAATAATATTTGATATTGATGAAAGCAAATTAAAATGTAATTTTTATTATTGCAACAACAAGGACATCCTGACAGTTATGGAAATAAAGATGAAATGAGTTAATAATTAATAAAGAATCAGTTTATTTCTAATATTGAAGATATGGATTAATAGCAATTAAATATTATATAGCAAGGATATACAAACACACAACAACTTTCTTCTTCGATTAACAAGTATCGAAGGAACCTCTTTTAAGAGCTAAATATATAGTAAATATTCTTAATTTATATTGTTGAAATAACTATAACCTTTAAAATTAAAAAATGATAATAATTCGAAACCATCATCATCATTATTATTCTAAAAAGCTTCATTTGAATAACATTGATATATTAGAATCACAAGATCCACAATTGTTGATGGAAACTTGGGAGTCAAGAGAAAAATTGGAAGAAGCTGAAAATGAAGATGAAGTGAAATCAATCAAATTAGAATGTGATGGTAAGTATGGGTATGTAACAAAAAAAATGACACCATATTAATTAAATTATTAACTAGGAGACTCACGTTTTGTCATTGAAAAATAGAAAAAAAATCAATTCGCGTCAACAAAAAAAAAAAATAATAATGTTGTAAGCATGATGGAAGTTCGATTTATCACGTTTATCACTTTGTGACGATCTTGAAATTATGTTGTGCGACTATATAATTTTAAAGTAGATTGTATATGTAAAATCATGTTTTCAATTGACAAAAAAATTGTTTACATAATAATTTTCAAATAAACTTCATAATTATATGTGAGATTAAAAAAAATGTATAGTTTCTACTTGTGGCATCTCTAATGAAATAATTTTCACAAATTTTTACTAGAAGCGAAGGAATTTTAAATAGTAACTTCACTTTATTAAAAAACAACTTTTTCCCAATACAATCACAGATGAGACACTACCATTAGATGTAAAATCAAGCATAGATTGTTGTTTAAACATGTGGCATCTCTAATACGTCAATACCTGTGGAGTTTTATTATAAAGGTATTTCTTTATAGCTATATATATATATATACACGTATATATGTAAAATATTAAATTGTAGAATTTACTTAAACATAGATTGTTGTTAAACATGTGGCATCTCTAATATGTCAATACCTGTGGAGTTTTATTATAGAGGTATTTATTTATAGCTATATATATATGTATGTATATATGGGGCATGCTGCAACAAAACCAGGCAAAGTGAACATTTGTATTACCAAAATTTCAGGGATCAAAATTTAGTCATTTGTAATGCAATTATGATTAACAGTTCATAATATCCCATTGTTATCTTCTTAATATTAAGTGATATATAGAATTACCTCTAGATAAAAATAGTTAATATGAAGTTAATTTACATTAGGTCTACCATGGAGCCCAAGAATTACAGCACCATTAGAAGTATTTTGAAGAAAGAACAAGGTGAAAAAATTGCACCTTATGTTTTCAAAATAAATGATACTCAAACACTTGAAGCTTATCTAAGAAAAGAAAGAATTACCTATGAAATTTATCAAGAGGAAAGAGTTTTCAAAAGAGTATTAGAGAATTCTAGTAAAGAATCAAGAAAAAA